TAATACTATTAGTTGTAGGGTACAGTATCTATGGATGTGACCAGGCAAACTCAAGTACAGATATTTTGTACGTCGTAGGCATTAAAGCCGATACTTGAACTTGAGCACTCGTGGATTTAGCTTACGCCGTCCATGGTCGAATTATAAACCTGTACTATACGTACCTATTGTATCTAGCTGGCCTGTGCAAGACAAAGCGGGGGCTGTCAGTACATATAGTAGTAATTAAGCACTGGCTGTCTATTACCGATCACACTACAGCCTTATCAATGCAGAGTCTGAGAAATTCGTTCAGTATTCATTTCAGATCTCTAGATGTAGGAATAAGTACTAGCAGTACTCAGAGAAGAGCTGCGTATCTATGTATAGTGCTGTCAGTTGTTATAACAACGGGATGACTTCGTGTCAGCTGTTCCCAACGACGAACCGCCCTGCTGTCTGACCCATATCTAAGGGCTATTTAATCCGCACTGCCGAATAATCTTTGTTCAAAGATTATTCTTAAATACAGAATGAAAATAGATGACGATGGTATACATTCGCGCTACGTTTAGATGTTTTTTATTGCTGCTGCTGCTGCTGCTGCTGCTGCTGCTGCTGCTGCTGCCGTTGTGGTTTGTCTTGTTGGATCAATGCTTAGCCATATTACTGATACAATGACAACACAATTAATGGTTGAATATTTTACTGTTGTTCTTATTATTGCTATGACCATTATTGTCATCGTTGTAAACGCATCGATGGTGTTTTTGGGCCAACTGTTAAATAAGTGCGGCGGGTGCACTGTCATAATGCCACCGGTGCGCCGTTGATGCTGCCATTGTGATGATTTACGAACGCGGCGACGTCGTTAGTGGGTGATCTTGTCTTTACGTATTTGTGTTCACGAGTATGCCGCTGACCCTTTACTTCGTTTGGCTCTGCATAAGATTTCTTGATATCTGTGCGAACAAAGCTTAACAGTAGAACAACAAACAGCACAAAAAAACGAGTGTAGGGCAAATGATTAGACCTGCGTTTGTGGCAGCAAGAGTAACTGCTGTGGGCTAGTGATAGTAACTGCTACAATGCCGTTAACGGTAGCTGAATTTGAAATGGAACTACGGAAGGAATAGCGGTATGCTTCCACATGTACCATTTACATATATTCGCGTGTACATATGTAGTTGATTTGCACAATACGGTGCTTGCAGTAGCCCCTAACCTCTTCGCTTCCTTTCTCTCCCCTCTCCCCCTCTCCCTGATCCTCTTCATCCAAACGGTGACGTACACAATTAGGTGTGATGGATATGAGTTCACTAAAACAATAACATCAAGATATTGTGACTGTTGCTTTTGTTGTTATTGTGGTCAGCAGCGTTCGTTGAGTGTCGTTCAGATTACAACAGCAGCAGCAGCAGCAGCAGCAGCAGCAGCAGCAGCACGAGACGAAAGCGTTACTTACGGCAGTAAGAAGGGTATTAATGGACAAACAACTACTGTGTGTTCGCGCGGTTTGACGCGAACACCGAAAATGTAGCCTCCTCTAGTGTATAATTTACAATAGTTGTAATCTAGTCTCTACTACCTTTCCTAAAGCGGCTTCTCCATGAGCTAGTTATGGGAATTTTGCCACATTGAGGGGCAACACTGCGCTATATCACCTATAGCCAAACGGCCACCGCAACACCATAATGCAATTTTGTTGCTCTATTTGTCATATCGTCGTCTGTGGCGTATTGTTCTTATCGGTATAGTATGATTTTTAATAATAATAATAGTTATTTTATTGATCGGTGTTGTGGCAGCTACCGTTATCAATGGCCGTACCGATGCCGCTTGCTATAGTCGCTGCGGCAGCAGTGTATCAACAGTAGCGTATACACAGACACGGTGCGATTATAAATGAACTACGTGCATCCCGGCGAACTGACATTGTAAGTGACTAGATGCGCGCTACATCGTCACCCGGTCAACCGCTTGCATCCACGGCCTATCAGTGTAACTATTACATTGACAGGAGCAGCCTCTGTCAAAGACCATATTGTCACACTGGCAACGATGCATAGAAATGCATATGGAGAGAGCGGGAGCCAAAGTTGGACGGGCGGGTGGCCGAGCGGCCAGCCAAACCATGAAAGATAGATAGGCACAACACAGAACGTAACAACGACAGTGACAATAGCAGTGGCATTACGCCATTCAGTTTTCTTTCTTCCTCCTGCACGACTCCAGCTATGTGATAGGGCCCCATAATCACGGAAGGATGACAACGGAATAGCACTGCGCTAAGCACATTGTAGCTGGTGGCGCAGTGGACTGATGGACCAATGCCGCGGCCGTTCCTGGGACCGAACGGCGGCGCTAGCAATACGGACGGCTCTGCATCCGATGCCTGTCGCACGTTGCGGTTTCCGTCGCGATTCTGTGCCGCTATCCTACTCTACCCCGCTTCGCTCGCTTAGCTCTGCATCACAGTGCCTAGTACAGCTGCTGTTGCTGCGTCTGCTGCACGGTTCAGTTTTGTTCTCCTCTACCAACAGCAAGAGCAGCATTCCCTGTTGTGCAGTCGCAGCCTGTTACGTTACGTTACGCTCCTTATCCTCCTTTTCTGTTTTTCTCTTCTCGAAGCCGCGCAGGACTGCCGTGGGCGCCACGGTGAAGTTGAGTCGTGGCCACCATCTGCTCCCGCCGACCCGAAGACTGCAAAGATGACGACGTTGACGGCGACCGCGGTTCTATAGCGCCGGTGGTGCGGCCCTTCAACCATTTACCAACAGCAGTTCTCGTTCTCTGCCTGCCTGCCTGCCTGCCTGCCTGCCTGCCTGTCTGTCGGGCCTTATCTGCCCGTCCGTCCGTTCCTGTTGGTTTATTCGCCCGCCCACATGTGCCACATTACCACAACGAAACATAGCAGCAGAAGCCAACTTCTGCAGAGCTCGTTGCTGCTAACGCCGTTGGGACTCGACAGTAACTACAACAGCACTAGCAGTCAAGCTACGTTAGTTAGTTGTTGCCCTCATCCGTTGATCATGTGCATTTTTAAGATGATAGTACACTGCAACGAGACGCCGTTCCATCGCCGGCGGCTGCTAGCACATTGTTATTGCTGCGATCGCAGCAGCAGGTCAGCTAAAGGCAGGAGGACGCGATGGGTAAAACAGACGATCCGAAATTTCGAATATTGACCAAAACATTTTCGGGGAAAAGTCGAAGTTATCTGCGCGTTTTTTTCTATCGTGGCTAGACTATTGATTCACACCACCGATACGGAAGCAGTTGATTCCGTACAGACAGATGAGAGCTGCCATGAAAACGTTTTTTATGATGAGTTGCTTCGACGACGTGATCGCAGATGATCACGTACGCTACACAGCGGCTCAGATACCGTACACATTTGGGTATACGTGTTTGGTCGGTTGTATCTCTCATTGTGAATATTGTGTGTGAATCTGGGTGTGAGTGAAGTTTTTTAGTAGTAAACTATGTTTGCCATTTTAGTCCATAGTAGGGCAGTAATTGGCCATATTGCGCTAAAAAGACGGTCAACAATTTCAGCTGCGACTTGTGCTATGAAAAAATCCTATAGAGGATTTAGTGGTACGGGAATATCTGAAGCAAGTTTCTAAAAAACCAAATCAGATATGGATAGTGGACAGTGGATAAAGCGTTCTTTACTCTCTCACAACCTGAACTTGAATGCCTAAGAAAGAACGCTCAGAAACGCTCGTTTTAAACTGAAGCTATCACCGGCTTGAGAAAATCTAATAATCTAAAACGATAGGTTAAGTCGATTGTGAAGAAAGGCTTAGGCTTTCTTTCGTTCGTACGGTCACTAGTTTAAATCTGATTATTTTTTCATAAGAAACCTCATCTATAAGTTTTTGCATTAATGTCACTAAATTTGTCATACGTTATATAAATGATATGTAATAAAGAATAACCCGTGGTATATTGTATATATTTAACAGCTCTTTTTATCGTATTAATAGTAATTACATCGATTTCCACTCTTTTTGACAATACTATGAACTGCTTACTACGTACCCCCAGGTTGGAAGTCATCGTTAGGAAGATATAATTTTGTATGGCTTGCAGAAACCTAAACGTCAAATTATCAAGCAACTTTCGAGCTTCCATTTTCGATAAAACAAAAGTTTTCTCACACGAAGCATATCATGTTTATGAGGTTAGACAGCATAATAACACTCCGAGGAGGCAAAGCATTTAAAACAGTTGTCCTAGGTGAAGGATCGATAAACAGAAGGATGCTTAAAGATTTAGCTATTCGATAGATCGTTTCGTGTAAGCTTGTCTGAGAAGGTAGAACTGTATTTGATTTTTTCCCGTGTATGGACCGACCTGATGTGTGTGTGTGTGTGTGTGTGTGTGTGTGTGCTCGTGTCCACGGCTCTGTTAGTAGTTCTTTGTCAGCTCGACAAAAAAGTTCCAGCTCTGTCGCTTCTTGCATTACTGTTTCCGCTGATGTCCAATATTGTGTCGATTTATTTTTCAGTACTTAGCGAACTTTTTTAAGTTAATACTTGGTAACGTTTTCACTGGCATCGTCCTTTTCTCAAGGAGTGCGATTGAGGACTAAATGGATAGACGTCAACTGAATTTCGAACTGACAATTTATCGCTGTTGTTGTCGGTTTGTTTTCACTGTTTTGCCGGTGGTGTGGATGGCGGTGTGTTGTACGCATATGGTAGCTCGTTCGTGTCTTAGCATTGCGGAGGCGTAAATTCTGTCTATTGTCCTATGAAGAAAGATGACAGCATCGAACGAAACTGCCTGGATCGGACCTTTTTTACCGAGCCGTTTGACCTATGGACGGAGAGGTTCTAGGTTTAGAAATATAACTTTCTATACCTAAAGCAATAACTGCAGTAGCAGTCGATAACATATAGTCACATTGTAAAGTGTTTTAGGTAAGTGTATCACTGGCTTGAGAAGAACACGACCAAATGCCATTTATTATATTCGTACTTAGTAAGAATAAAGTCAAGACAACACTGGCAGCGGATAATGCTGCGTCGGTTTGGGAGAAGTTGTCCATGAAAAATTTGTTATACGCTGAGTCACAGCGTAATGGCAGTGTAAGAACATGATTACTGCTAACCGCTGGGACGTTAATGCGGCCTTCCTTTTGACGCCCTTCATCCAGACGATAAATGACGATCCGTTCTGCGCAATAGCGAAAGAAAATGAATTTAATGGAACGAAGAGTTTAATTGAAAATCGAAGTGACACTATCCTGTACTCAGTTTCGAAGGTAGCTGATATGAGCTAAGCGAAGTCATACCAGAGTTACGTTTAATGAATATCATCCATTGCTCATACGAACCAATAACTGCAGTGATCAAAAAAAATAAACATTTCGAAATACAATTTTACGCTGGCGCTTGAAACTACAATGCCGCTTACTTACTTGATTTGTGCACATTTTAAATCCTAACGGTAAAACGTCTTACACCTTAATCGCAGACTGCGTGTGATAGCGCAGCGGTTGAAAAAACGTTATATACTATTTGTTATTATATATGATTGAAATACGCATACAGCTAGCTGTGGACTTATTCAATTCAGTGCGTCGAAAGTATTTCTATGGCAGTTCAAAAGATGTCTTTTATCGAATTTAGTAGCAGAAAACAACCGAATTGACCTAGGATGAGTTGCAGCATCGCCGCTTTGTTTGAACATGATATAAACAAAGGCAATTATGACGTTATGATTAGCTTGGCTCATAGAACAGGGTCAGACGAAGCGATCGGTTTAGTCATTATTCTCCAATTGTTAAAAGGCCACGGAAGTCGCATGAATCAGGTCAACATGTATCGTACATCTGCTGAAGTGAACGGGGAAACTAAGCACAAAGGTACGATACTTCGTCAGATTTTCAGTTTAACATAGACTAGATTTAGTACGATAAATTAGTAGAGGGCTGGTATCTTCTGGGCTGCAAACAAACATTGTTCTCTTAGCTGAGGCTGTATTAAACAAGCGATGGTTGTCAGATTTTTGTTTGTCGGATGTCTTAGAGTTTGGCCACACTTAATAGACGCTCGCTGTGACGCGGATATATATGCAAGAATGGTTGTTTTACTTTGTGTTTGGCATTCATGTTGTTAGCCATTACTTCAGAGCGGAGGGCTGGCTCCCGGCGCGAAACAGAGTGTCTGGCTCCGACAGACAGAGTGAATGACTTCGAACTTAGATCGTCACGTGTTCCTAAGTTTAGCAGATAAACACATTACGCATTGCGCTATCACGGGGTACGGTAGCGACGAGCCATAGCGACGAGCAATAGGTGATAGGCAGCTGTCCATGCAGAGCTGCGTAGCTAGCGTTTGACATCTAGCAGGCTAGTTGCTGTTAAGGCATTGTGTATCTTCGTTTGCAGGGAAGACTGTACCTACTTGAAAAGCTCTTGATAAGCAAAATTGAAGAGTTCCTGTCAGATGTTAAAACACCTTTTCCTCCCAAGTAAATTCCGATTCTACCGAACTCTGAAAGTGCCGTACGAGAACAGACTTCTGTCTGATCACATAACAATAGTTGAAACGATGGATAAATTCAGCCAAGTGCAAAACAGTGCATGCGATCGGCACGATAGAAGCATAATGTATAGCAATTTTGCAGCTGCGGCGTGTAGCGTAATGCTGAATTAAATGCTAATAGACCGGATGCTGTTTCTGTCTGCTTCTACTATGAGTAGTATGGGAACCCATTTAGCCCACCGTAGTTAAACTTGAACATTATTTTTATGATGGTCAAGCTTAGCAGTAAACTGCTTGCCAATTTATTGATTTATTCTATCCACTAGTCGATCAGAGGTACGAGTTTATGATTGGCTTATCCGAACACTCAACAATATTCAATTGGCGTTTTATATACAATGTTCATACCTAGTGAAATAGCAATTATGCTATGATCTAATACCGGTAATAGTATCGTCTTAATAAGCTATCGGTTCAAAATTCACTGCTTTATTAATCTATTATATTTGCGCAGTGGGATCAAGAGGGTGTCTCAACCAGACAACATTAAGGAACCCGTGGCAAGCTAAGATTCCCAAACATGCAATTGCAATTATGATGCCTTCTTATCAAACTACTTTTTGTTAGTTTGCCTAGTATGGCATCTGTACAAACAACTTAAACTTTAGGTGTAATGGAATAAAACAAAATAGCCTAATAATATTAAGTTTGTTTTCTCCATTCGTGTTCTAGTGAGAGCCTTTGGGCGGCTGGGTAGGGCCCGGACTTGAGGAGGTGAAGGAAGATGGCCTCGCTGGGAGCCGGGGGGGCCGACCCCGAGCTCCTTTTCAGCAAACAGGTAAGTGAATCTATAGGTTTTCTACAGTCGTTTAAGAGGCGAGTGTGCCCCTAGTGCTGTGCCTGCTCGCCAATTTCCGTAGAGGTCAGCGTTTGTAACCTTTGCTGACATTGCCCATTAAGGCAGACCCACGTATGCCGCTACGGCGTAATCATGCCTCCTGCGTGCGTCTGCGCACAGTAAATCTAAACACAAAAAATATTGCCGTCACATTTTTGGAAAGACCCTGTAAACACGTTAAATTAAATTTGAGTCAAGTAAACTTTTCGACGGTTGTAAGAATTCGCAGTTGCAGGACTGACGGACTCAGCAGCTGTCTTCATCGCCCGATGATATGAAATTCAATTTACGATTGAGTGTGGCGTTAGTAGGGATCTCGGCAATAGCGATGCCTTCTTGATACATGCTTACGTATCAAGACAATATCTAGAAGTTTGTGTTCGATTTAGTCCACCTACCAACAAGCAGTTGAAACAAGTACGCTGCTGCGAAAAGGGAACCAATTCTGTTAAAAGCTGATTGTTAGCAATTCATTCAGACCCGTAGATGTTCGCGGTTAACAATCGGCATTTGGATCTCACATTGCGTAGAGGCAATTTTGCATTGCGCTCGTCAGTTTAAGAAATGTACGTAGTTTGATGTTTGTAATACAAAGATTTATTTTATTCAGAACACAAACTTGGTTTTATCTTTAGAGAAAATCAAGTGATATTTATTAGTGTTCTATATAAAAAGATTTTCATAATAAAAGTACGTTGCGATCAGAATAAAATCTCCTGCGGTCAGTTGGAAGAATAATTAGTCCATAGTAAGGCGGCGCTGTTTTTAAGTACGCTTGACAATTGGAATTATATCGAAATCCATATTTTTAACGCAGCAGGCTGAAAAGAGTAGCTGTTAGTTACCCATTGAATTTATCATGAAGTTTTTTGCTGTTATTGTCAACAGGAGCGAATCGGCAAAGGCTCATTCGGCGAGGTGTTTAAGGGGATCGAGCGAAGGAGCCAAAGGGTCGTGGCCATCAAAATCATAGACCTCGAAGAGGCAGAGGACGAGATTGAGGATATCCAGCAGGAGATACAGGTAAGACCAATAGCAACGACTTGTACACCAAAGAAAATGTAATGCACATGTTCACGCGGTTTCAGAATTTTTTTCTGATGCTACTATTCAAGTCAGAAGTTTCGCCTTTCTTGATTGTGTTGTTATGATTAATTGTGGAAAAAGCCGTATTCATGTATCTCGTTAACTCCAAATGCGGATACAAACAGGGCTATCCTATTCTATTTTATACCGTCACGTAATTGCTGATTATAAAAAAATTGCAAAAGTGAAGGACTTCAGAGTTACATTTTTCTCCGTCAGCTAACCTGTTGCCTTTACAACTGAATTTTAGTATTTCACAGTGAAACATCAGGTGTTCTTTTCCAATAATTCTACAAAAAGATGAACTAAGGAATGTTAATGGCTAACCACGGCCATTTCTGAAGTCAGACTGGTAACTAAGAAGTTTCGGTAAAGAGGCGAAGCGTTACACAGATATTGGAAAGTATCCTTTGTTAAAAAAAAATGGTAACACTTGCGGTGACGAAAAGCTCGAGGGAACTCATTAAGCTGCTGTGGATAGTTGAAATGTTTCGTTGCTCAATTATGTTTCAGTGGTTTCATGTACCCTGAGACGTACGCCATCATTGATTGCAATTATGCGCCAAACGCGATTTGATGTAATGAATCTTTATGCCAATACTTGTATCCTAGCTGTTGGCCCTATTTTATAGTTATTTTGTTACCGACAAAAAAGTATCGATTCTTTGTACTGACAATTCCTTCTTGTTAGTATTAGAAGAGGCGCTCATGTAATATGTGAATATATGGCAAAGCTAAACCGAGCTATTTGGTGTGTGACCGTTTTCACTGACAAGGTCGATCCCCGTTGTGATCGCTTTGGCAAGACGATAGCTTACGTGAAGGTCTTCGTTTTATGGCAACATGGCGGTTTACAGCAGCAATGGATTGTTTGTGATGTCTACGTTAGAGAAAGAGCGAATGTGCTTTGTATGCTAATTACGAATAAGGGTGGTATGCTATTTAGTGGATATGTGCGGATTGCGGAGCGAAACCACTAGTGCTATATTCGGCCCTATGTCAAATTGTGACCGATTTAGGAGCGCTTGAAGAACGACGAGTGAAACCACGAAGGCACCAAGTGGTGAACGAGTAAGCGAATTGTTGCTGGAATCGACTAGAACAGAGCCACTGCAAACCTCATTGAGCAGACCGATATCATTTTGAGGAAGGCACTGGATGCGCTGCCGGCTGTTCAGTTATTCACGCGAGGTCGATCAAGTATTAGTCGCAAAATCGCTTGTACCAGTTGATCATAATGTGCCTGTTGAATCACGCCGCCATGCTTGCAGACAATACAAACGCAATAGACCACTGTCTCGTTTGGCCTTCTTTTAGTCCCTTTCTATTATATATTGATAGGCCGTTTGGCTTACTGACGGGATATGTACTTGTCTTATTTACTGTTAGTCATAAACTGATGCACTTTCCGGCGAACGAAGAGGACTTCGCCAGTTGATGCAGTATAGGCGATGTGGAAACAAAGGAAATATAGAAAGTATAATTCCAATCATCGCTCCGTGTAGCTGAATTTGTCTTGTATTAACTGTGTTAAAAGCCTTACGGCAAAGAGAACATAGTGCAATAATGCATTATTATTATAATAATAACATTTAGTCTAACACTGAGTGTATTGGTCTTTTTCCCCAATGGGCAAAGATTTGTTTTTGTTTATTGTTGTGCAATTAATCAGTCATTTTATTGAGTTCCTGAAATTGTGTATAATACACGCGTTTTACTGTTGCTGCAGTATACAAAAATTTACTTTCATAATACGATACCATATACCAATAGAAGCGTACTTGTAGCCCAATGCTGGGGATGTTAATTAATTGTATGACCATTTTTTAATTGAAATTGTAAAACACGTAATTATAAATACCACCATACAGTTAGTAATATGCGAAGTACAGTGAGTCCAAAAGGTGACCCTGCAAGTATTGCTTGAGCTACAAGTGTTCGTTATCAGTTCAGGGCCGATACTTTGTTTTTCTGACAAGATGTGATTATTGTTTCGTCCTATCTATGGCCTGTGGCCAACCATGTAGGTTTTATCGCAATGCGATTCAGCGTACGTGACCCGCTACTTCGGATCGTACCTTCGGGCTTCTAAACTTTGGATCATAATGGAATATCTCGGAGGTGGCAGCGCTCTCGACCTCATGAAAGCCGCACGCTTCGAAGAACTACATATAGGTGAGGACAAGCGGTGCAGTGATCGGATGTGACATACCTGTAGGGTTTTTGTAGTGTCACACAATGCAAGCCTCCAAAGCGCACCAGCCTCGGGCATATTGAACCATGAAAATTCCCGTTTGAAACACTGGGAAATCAATAAGCTTCGCGTGGGAGTCTCTAGAGCCTTGCATAACAGATTAAGGCTAGCTTCTGAAAAGATAAAGCAGGGCAATGTTAGTGATGCAGTGATATATGATAGTTATTTTCTAAATTAGACGAAAAAGGCGTTAAAAATCATGGGCATTTGGAATTACTGACACTAATGATTATGTATTACATCATTTGTTATGTCCAATAAACGCCTGCTTACATTTAACTATTATATGTATTGCTGATTTGGTATGGTGAAGCTTCTAATTAAATTCGTCCTACTTATGCTGCCATAGCCATCATTCTCCGGGAGGTGTTGAAAGGCTTGGAATACTTGCACAATGAGAGAAAGTTGCATCGTGATATAAAGGCAGCAAACGTTCTGTTGTCGGAGCAGGGCGACGTAAAGTTGGCAGATTTTGGCGTAGCAGGGCAACTCACATCTACTACATCAAAAAGAAATACCTTTGTTGGAACACCCTTTTGGATGGCGCCAGAGGTAACAGACGTACTATATTGTCGTTTTCTTTTTGATCAACCAATATCGTCTAAAATTAAGCCTGCTTATCTGAAATTTTCACCAACTAGCATAAATTACAGTTAATACAATTCTGGATTCTTTTAGGTCATTAAGCAGTCGGCGTACGATGCAAAAGCTGACATCTGGTCCTTGGGTATCACAGCAATCGAGCTAGCCAAGGGAGAACCGCCGAATTCAGAACTGCATCCCATGCGGGTTCTGTTCCTTATACCCAAGAATAACCCACCACAGCTAACCGGCAACTATACTAAACCATTCAAGGTAGTATTTAGGATACTGGGAATAGCTACCATTGACCTTTTGAAGTCATTTTATGTATTTTTCTGATCTTGAGGTCGCTGATGCACATTTCATTGAGCACATGTTCAGCAATAAAGGTCGGCGCAGTTGAATGGTCTTTACTATTCCTTGTTTCTAGTTATCGTTGACGGATGCACAAATAGTCTCATAGGTTAACAGAAGTCAGCCGAAATGTATGTATAGTTTTTACATCCTCTGTGTACTTGCAATACAACAAAAGGCACCCAGATAAGTATTTCAGTGTTGATAATGTAAGGGTTAATTAGCTAATTAACGCATTTCATTGTTTCGTCTGACTCGTCTATAGCCTTACCTAACTGCAGTGAAATGTTCACCTTGCAGGAATTCGTTGAGGCATGCCTTAATAAAGAACCTGAAAATCGTCCTAGCGCTCGGGATCTTCTCAAGCACCCGTTTGTGCGGAAGGCAAAGAAGAACTCATATCTAATTGACCTCATCGACAAGTATAAGATGTGGAGAGCAAACGGCGGCGAGAGTAACGTTGATTCTGATAATGATTCAGACAATGGCAACGAGCACCATCATCCGCACTTCAACGGTTAGTGCCCTCTGCAAATCGTGACGCAAAGATATGTGCGGAACAATGAATGAAACTAACACAAGGACGTTGCCATTAAACTTTATTTTGAAAATCTTCACAAACCGTCGTAAGTGGCGAACAGTTGTGTGAGAATTCGTATTTGCGGTTCACATCAATTCATAACTAATGACTATCTAAGGTCAGCTGCAACCCCTAAAGGCCATGGGAAGAAAGGAGTTAGGAAATCCGTTTCTTGTATAGGATTGTTATACATTGTATTTGTAGACTCCGGGTGCATACTTCTGACGATGTAAACGAAGTCTAAGTTTTGCAGTATCTAAATAATATTAGTTTAAATCACTTGTATCATTGTTCTGTTAGGCGATAGTGGATCGGACGGCAATGATTTAGATGCCGGTGGCACGTGGAAGTCCCTTCGCTGGGACTTAGGAACTATCAAGAATCCTGCACCTCCTACCATAGCACCTGGTTCGCCCCTGGCATCATCTGAGCCCGCGTCATCTGGTCCATTGTTAGCGAAAACCGAACTTAAAACGATTCAGCAACAACATCATGGCCAACGGGAAAATGCCCCACCTCTACGAGAATTACGAGAGGTGCGTTTTGATCAAGTTAATCATTATGTCAAATGTCCTTATTAAGTTGCACATTAGGCGAATTAGCAACCTTTCCAAGATCCGTTCCAGTTCAGTAGTATTACTGAACATGTAGTGTATATCATGCGATTCCATTTTGTCCGGTGTTTTCAGCATTTTTTTTTTCAATGCTGAATAAAGACAGGTTTGAGACACACGCAATACCATAAATCGAATATGACTTTGGTTTTGTGTACATATTTTGTTTCTGTTCCTTTAAGAATGGGCCCAACGGTACACGGATCGGTAACCGACATTCCGTAGGGAGTGGAATGACTTCACCGGATCGAGCGCCTTCAACTGGGCCTCTTGCAGCCCATAGTACACAAGGCGCGCATAGCCCAATACATTCGCCATCATCTGCTCTTCCGTTACGGTCACCTACGAGGCAGAATTTACCTTCTGGTGATAAAATCGGCCCTCCCTCACTCGGTTCTCCTTTGAAGGGCGTTACTGGTGGAAGCCCTACTGGCGGACCTAGTGGTAACGGAATAGTATCGCAAGACAAGCCCAAGATAATGATTTCGCCTGTTAAAGAAAAGCAGATACCGCTGATGACGAAGCTAGATAGGGTAGACAGGGAAAGAATCGAGCGAGAAAGAGAACGACTTGGCGCTCCTCCGGGAGCTCCTGTAACTTCTCCGGTGAAGGAGCGACCTAGCGAGAGAGCTATTGCGTCGCCTGTACGTGATAGAGACCACAGAGAGCGGTATGTGTACGGGCTCATATTATAAGTAAAAATCTTAAGTAACATACTTCGAGTCGTGGTGATCGGTCTAAATAGAATTGGAGAACCCTTTAAGCAAAAGCTATTTGATCAAACATAGCATAATCTGAATAATCGCAAAGTTACGACACTTAGCCGAATGTTACGTGAGAGAATGATGCTGCTTTTTTTCGCCAACCGCACAAATATTAGAGTATACATTGTGGACGCTACTTAGCCTCGAAATAAACTAACAGAAATGCCCTTGTGTTGCCTTTTTTTGACATTTGTGTGCTAGCAATAGTTCAGGGAACATCTAGTTCATCTTGATAACCTACTTCATTCGCACGGGCACTGATTTGCCTCCTGGTGCTGCTTTATTTCTCTAGTTTAACTAAAACCACAATAGTCATTTCCCACACAGAACATGCGCTTAGTGCTTGACTAAAGCCACCGCTGAAGTACTCAGTAACCTATTGCGTATGTTTTTTTAGGGATCGGCCGCTTGTAACGCCCCAATCACATTTAGCCACACCTTTACATCCCACAAAGGGCGTGCCTCCACCCACCAAAACGTCAGTTCTAAGTGGTAAGTATCGTTATAGACTGCTAAAAGCTTTTGACTAATCAGCAGCATTTGAAGGAAATCATTTAATTTGCATTAATCAATATAGTGTCTTAGCCAACTGCGATATCGAAGTGAGTTAGGGTAGGAAACTTTGTTGTCATGTAGTTTTTTCAATGATCTGCTTTCTCGATGTATATCATTCACAGGGAAGGCAATTGTGCCAATTTTGTCATCGATAGAGCGTAGACAAAACACGTCTAAGACTGTACTAGAGGAGTTTCGGACGGATCTCGAGCGCGCGGAACTGGCGTGTCCAGGCGTGAGCGGTCTATTCCTCAAAGAAGTTCTTACTCGTCTTCTGCCGCCGCATACTCCGGCCTACAAGATTGACGAGCTGCTTTACAATGTTCAACCCATGTAGTAAAGGCATCGGCGTTTTTGTGGCCGAGATTAGAGGAAGCCGAGATATAGTAACAGCTATCCATTGACCACAACGAATGAATTTAGACGATCCCGTCGATCGAAGTTCCAGCGTGTCGTTTCCTCACCGTCGAATCAGAGGTCACATTAGTATTTCGTTACGACAAAAAAAAGGTCGTGTTAAACGGTTAGAGAGGTACCCTAACGATCATGGTGGAATATCGATGAAGAGACGAACTGGTGGCATCGGATGCATGCTCGTAGAACATATGTAGATAGTTTGAGCAGGTAATTAGTACTGCTCGATTAGGAAAGGCCGGATTCATTTACTATGTGGGCTTTGAAATCGTCATTGAACGTACTGAACAGAATCGCATTGTGCACTGGCACTTTAACTTTAGAGTGTTAGAAAATATTTAATTGTAAGATACGTTGGAAAAAGCGAACCTTTTGTTGTGGCAGTGCGCAAAAGGGTTGTTCATATCGACATATTGTGTAGAGTGCTTTTTTGCATTAGAAAAAAAGACAAAGGGGTTTGTTGGTTATTTATTCAAGACGGAAAGCTAACGTGAGGTACTAGTAGCAGCAGTCAAGCGATAGGTTGAGGAAAATCGTCGACGACGAAAATCAGAGGTACGTTTCTGTTACATGAGCCTGGTCACGCTATGTCGCTGTGATGCTCGCGATCGTAAATACGTAATGTAAATTATTACATATTGCTATTACAACGAGGGCACATAAGCTGCTACGTAGTGGTGCACAACATCACAAGAACATAAATTGTAAAGGAAAGAACGAAATCAATTAGAAAATGTTGATTGACTTTCCTTCATTCTCGAATCTTCTTTTATTTATAAACAAAAAAAAGGAGAGGGTGAACAACAACGAGCCGAGCGACAGATGCTAACAAAGAAACACTATTGAATTTGTTAACTGTGGGTGTGATTTCGCCATTATCGTAACTGTTACTGCTTTTGCTTTAGGTCAACACCATGGCTATGCAGGCAATAGTGGCTCTGGTGGCGTGTAGCATGTAACTTTTTGGGTGATCGGAAGACATATTTTCGAGGGAGTGAGAATCGAACAAAAGGCTCTAAGTATTCGATGATGATTCGATAGTACGGTGACGATTGCGCGCCATTTTTGCAGATAACGCTCGTTCCTGACCTCCTGACCGTATGTATGTATATGATAATATAAGATATGTAATATTATTGTTATTTTTATTCTCATGGGGAGATAGAAAACGAATACCGGATTAAAGTGATGCAGCAAAAGATCTATGAACCGAGTGACGTCTAATAATGAGAAGGACGATACTGAGACATTGTATGTATCTAACCATGAGCTATCTATTTTTGTAGCATACTTTGGAGCAAACGTAGTCTGAGAGGCAGAGCAGAACGAAGAGCGCAAACTCATTTGCTATTGATATTCTGTAAGAACAAAAAAAAAGCGAACTATAGACAAAGCTAACGTAAATATATCGAGCACGATAAAGAAAAAACGTTAGCGTGACAAACGTCACACGTGATTTCTTAGGGAATTGGTATCGTAAAGGACGACTGATTAATTCTCAGCAGGCAACACTATAAGCGGAAACAGGAATGAATATATTCGTTACGTCATTCTGCCATATGTAATAAACAAATGCCAATCAGTAAGAGTTCGGCACTAGGTGGTTGCTTCGGAGAAGGGAGAACCGTTGGGAAATAGATGCGTGTTCCGCCCAGTGGATGGGGAAAGCAGAGAGATTTGCTATTCAGATGAAAAACCTTTTTAGTTGTGCTGTTCACTACAATAGAGGTGGTTCTTCAAAAGAAAGCTCCGGCAACAAAGCTACGATAGGACAATATGAAAGAAATAGCAGATCCTACACAGATGTATATTCGCAATAACAACTAGCGCAACCTATACAAGGTGTTGAGCGGTTAAAAGGGTTGCGCAAAACATTTGAAATGGTTTGTAGACTAGGTTGAATATCCCATAGTCCACTGGGGTACCACGTTTGCGCGTTGTAGAGTGAGATTGAAATCAACATAGGTACAAAACAGCATAAAAATGCCTAACGCATTGGCTTGTTATGATCTATCTATGATTGTCCGTGAAGATATCTATAGCGATCATGCTCTAGCATTTATTTTCTATGCTAGATACCGACAACGTCGTGTTTTTTGCCTAATGCGCGTCTGGGTTTCGCGATCCTTCCCGTATTGTACATTCCTTTCCCAAGTGCCTTCCAGAAGGATCGCGAGCGGGATCGCTTTGCCGTCCTGTTCATCCCTAAGCAACCTGCCCTTTGCTGTCTCGAACAAAGGCCAGACAGCATACACGTCGAAAGGACTGAGGACTTATCAAGCGCATGACGACCACCGCTAACCATTTAGCCTTATTCCAAGAAGATAGTACACGTCTTGATTAATAGACGTTTCACTGAATTATGAGACACGATATCAAGCAAAAATTCTAGCTACTGGATATTATCTTACAGTAACACTGGACCAAAAACGGAACGTCATCATCAGAGTTTCATCACATATGGGTCAATGGTATAGGCATCAGATATATCTGCTCCGAAAAAACTGCTGTACTATATTTTTGCTCTGCAGGGTAGATAAGCTAACCAGTAGTAGTCAAAAAGTAGGTAACCTGATATCGGTGGTGACGCTCATATAAATTACGTAACATTTTTGATTACGACGAGATTTTGGTATAACAAACCTAAAAAATCTTTCATTGAAATCGGAAAAGTTATACGCTAAATCGATAAATTATCCCGTCGTGTTCGTACGTAACGCCTTTACCGTAACTTCACTAAAATAATGAGAGACGACAAGATCAACTATGAGGTGCCAACTATCAGAGAAACTGTACACTACGCCATTACCCCCCCCCCCCGCCCCACTCCGCAGGCTGTTGCGCTTTACACCTATAGACGAACACGTATCTCCTAATCATCACTCTTGTTGTCGTCACCTTTAATCGGCGCAGCGATGACTCACGTACAGATGAAAGCAGGATCTGAAAAGTGCGATGTGGGGAGGTAACTAGAGAGTATAAAAGCTGCCTGTTGTCGCCTGCTTGAGTTCAGTTGCCGTTCACCGGATAACCGAGGGGTAGGAGAAGGAACGTGATGGAGCAGAAGAAATTTATGAATAAAATCAATGGGGAGGGCAAATCTCGAGTCGGTTCCTATCGCGTTTCTAGGTCACATTAAAACAGACCGCATAGGCGCCTGGCGAGATGCACCGTATTTGAAGATAGATATATAACAGTAAATAAAGAAATAGATTGTGAGGTTAGAGGCACAGACAGAAAAGACTAATGGAAAGTCTATTATTGTACAGGTGTTGATGAAATACTACAAATAATTATAGAGCTGAGCATAGGGGCCTACGGTATATAGATGATCATTTGTTGGCTGGTTTCCTTTGTGAAAGCCCGTATGCAATGCGATAGCGTAGAATGTGCAATAAACAAAGAAAGACAAAGACGAGTAAGGGGAAGGAGGCAAAATTAGCGGAAGTTAAAAAATGCTGATAATAATAAAAGTAATTGTACCAAATTGTGTTGTAATTTTCTATTTAATATGACTCCTTTATTTTTCACGTACCTACCAAAAAAACAGCTTAAATCGTAACAAATCTTATTTTTTAATTAGGCCTGGTGAATATCCCACATTAAAAATTGTAATCAAGCAAGAATTGTAGATTAGATTTGTTGCTTTGTCTTTGCATTAAATTGATACCATTTCCGTATCATCACCCAGCTGTGATTTGATGTACCTTTATACCAACGAAAAGAACGTATATGTTTAAAAAAATGTGTGAGTCAAAAGATGCTGTTCAAAAGAAAACATTGTATTAACGAGGTCGACAGCTTTTGGCTTTATGACGTTTCCAGCATACTTACAGTTCTGAGTAAGCTCTAATTAAATGTAAATGTTCCTTATCGCTTAACTTGATTAAGTTTTACTGTAACTGATCAGAAGTTTTTGGCCAATCAAGGATAAAGTTCAGGAGAGGCTTCCTGCACACCGGCGTCCAGGATCACGTCCTGCACGATGGAGTGAGTACGTAAAACGCTTTCTATTTCTATGAAAGCAATGCATCTACCAAGGAAAGTGATAAAGTGCTTCTTACAACTCACTACTGAGATGCGATCGAATTTATCAGCAACAACTACCTTGCCTGTTGTTTATTAGCTGCCGTAGAATCAATTGCAGACTTCGCCAAAAAAGTTCCCCAGCTTTCTAGCTTGATGCCTTTTAGCTCCAACAATTTTTACTTTAAAAGCCTTGGGTTTGCACGTGCGGGCACACTAAATACTGTAGCAATGCCATAGACGTTCATAAATTTCAAGAACCCATTGGTTACTGCCCGCGGTTCTAACGACCGTTACGACGCGCAAACTCTAGATCATAGCTGAAATGTCGTGGTACTTTACTTTGCGAAGGGCGCGATTGCTATCTTCACGAAACACGCAAGGATCGCGAACACAGTGACTTCGTAATTATAGGTATAGACCGTCATCATCATCGGATCGATGCCATGACTTGCGAAGCTGAGCGTGCCACCGCAGGACAGTGTATCACTATTGAACATAATGCTGGTATCATAGGTGAGTGTACTCAGCAGTAGAAATTGGTGGGACTCATCGTAGATATTAAGTTCACAGAAGTCGCATTCGTAAATTGGCCCTGTTCTAGTTGGCCTGTTAAAACTACAAACCCTTCTCGGACTGGCTTTTCTTGTATGCCCGAAAGCATGATAGTCTTTACGGCGCAGCCGTTCAGTATGTTGTGAACCGTATGTCCTGATCTAGCGCATCGGTGAGAATAGATTTCATGGTAGAGTTTTCAGTCTGAAATTTCTGCTCTGCTCGCTTATTTGATCCGAAGGCGACTTTTTTTTTCGAAAAAAAAAGGTACACCGCTTAGCAACCAAAAAAAAGAATGCTTTATTTGCGTAAAGTTATGCTTTTGTTTGGCCATCCACAGTGTTCCGTCTTTGTTTAAATTGATAGAAGGTGACTGTCTCGCCTATATCGGCGTCGACGACGAGATTACACTTACGTTGTTCTCTCGACGCAAAGTTAGTGTAGGTTGCTTTTGTTAGAATGAGATTCGACTCGTAAACGCTTTGTTACTGCCATTGTTTATTCTAATAGAGGTTTCTTTCTACGTTTTTTTTTTGCCTTGAACTCCGTCGAACCAGCTAAGCAAAATTTCGCATGACTCGGAAAGCCACCGACTTTGAAACTGTAATCTCGGTAATGAATTTAGATAATTAGGGTATCCACCTTGTTTTTCTAGTGAATCTTAAGTTTCTCGTCACTCAAGCATTCGTCACCAAGAACGCTATGACGCTGTTGTATAATTACCACGAGGGATCGTGGCTATCATCTGGCAAAACGAGAAAAGATAAGTTGGTCACGGTTCCTCTCGCTCTTGCAGTGACGCAATACCTAAAAACGACCGCACTACTTGACCTGTAATAGCAAGGTTAGTGACCCACCAAAACGCGTTGCACGCAGTGCCTCAAATTTGATAAACCGTAAACGGGGCGTGCAAATGCTACGTTATCATACGATTTATGCAAAGCAAAGAAGCCAATCACTGACCAAGTTAAGTATCATGAACGTTGAATATGGCGATATTTGATCGGTTAAGCTGCTCTCCAAAACCTGATAATGTCGAAGTAGATTCTCGTCAAGTTTTTCCTGTCAAGTAGCGCTGAATCCCAGCTCCCATGTAGCAATACGATAGCTTTGTTTTCGGTCTTGCAGTATAATGCAGGCCTTCGGCAATCAACTCTTCAGGGGCGTTTAGGAGATTGTCGAGAACGATGTTTATATCGTTGTGACGAATGGTCCGGCACATCTCACTAGAAACCATCTTTAAGCTAACGCAGAGCTAGGAACTACTTACTAAATGATCACACTATGAGAATACATTTAGAGAAAAACACTTGTCGTCAAATTGGCTATCTTGGTGAAGCTATCTTACAACGATGCATTTATGCAGTACGACTGAAAAAAAAATGCTACTCTGTAGATGTGGTTTATTTCTTCAGAAATTTTAGGTATATAATAACGGAAGCTATACGAAGGGCATGTAATAACAACAAATAAAGTGTAAAATATTTGTGTGTTTGAATAAACTTTCGATTCAGTTGCTCTCGATAGATTGGTCGCCCCGGGGTATCTGTTCGTTCGTGCGCCCGGTTGCCATAGTTCCTTTCGGCCAGAAATTGAAAACCCAGCAGTGTCGCACCAGTAAGGAAATACACTTGAAACTTCAGCCTATATTCGGGTCTACAGTAGCAAGCTCAAGCGAGATTTATGCACGAAAAACGAACCATGCATTACATATGCCTGATTCGATTCGAATAACTAGAAGGGAGTCACTTACTTATATACTACTGACATAGATTCGTATGACTCACGTCTGGACATATTTTTGGGTTATTTTGATGCTGCCTGTTCAACAACGAAACGCTGAAGTCGGTGTGGCTAGCGTTACCAACCAGTCGAGGTAAGTTGGCTGGTTTGTGTCATTCTTGCAATTGGCGGTTCAGTCGACTGCTTGCAGGACACTGGCTCAGCCATCCTCCGTACACCGTGCTCGGGCGACCCCACGAACAACGTTCGTTCTATCTATTACATAACTTGTCTCAAGTCAAAATACACAGGTGGCACAAACAAGGAACGTTCTGCGAACGCTTCAAACATGTATATATATACATCCATATATCTATTTGAGATAAAGGTATATTTTACGAAGTGCTGTTGTGGAAGGCCAGAGACCAAAAACTCAAACGAGACTCATGGTGGAATATATCAGTATCGTAGAGTTAATGTAGTTTGACAAAAACAGTTTCTAATTCAACTACTAGTTACTTAGTTCTCTACTTGTTTTATTGAATTCTCAGTGCCGCCAACAAAGCCAGAACATTGGTCCTGCGTAACTGTCGTCGTGGTAAATGAATCGGGTTCTCTATAATCGATCATAATCAGATTTTTATTTATGTGCACATGCTGATGCTCACCGTAACACTAATCTATATGATATACACATTTTAATACACGTTTCACTGAGGAGTAAATCCGAGATGGACCAAAGTTTCATGGTGTCATCTTTGTCTTTCCGTCTCATTCATGAAAGTAGAAAGAACAAGGCCGCCTCAAAACAGGCTATATAAGGACCGACGGCGAAATTTGTCTGACCCATAATCTAGTACGCATTGACCTCGGCTCAATATCGAAATCGGTTTTGTCATCACTCCCAGATGAGAAGCTGCATCGAGGTTAGAATGTCGTAATGATCATCCAGCTGTGGCTACCAATGTATGTAGGGACAAACTGTATGTGCGCTTTCAGCACGCAGCTATCTGGCAGACTTTTTTTTAGTTTGACCTTACACGTCACGTGGCTCTGTGTGTTACAAACATAATATATCATAACGGGGAGACCCCCTTCTGTGGTAAAGCAGCGCGTACGTAAACCAAATTACTCTACTGAAAGCGATTGGAATCTTCTTACCGAAGAGTGTATCCCGCCGCGAAGTTTTGTAGTCGTCAGTTCACTTTGAGGCACAATATTACAATGTATTACCGATTTGTTTCAATCGGCGTTTATACTTAACTGCTTCAAAAAACAACACATCGGACGAAAATACAAACTAGTCGGTGACGCAAATAGGTAGTCATCTTTCACTACCACTTCATCACAGAAATCAATGAAGTTTATTAGGTGCTGATATCAACGAAGTCGATTTCCTTATTGATCGGCTTCCTTATTGATTTCGATTACATCAACCAAAGTTATAATACATTAACCTAAATCACTAATAATAATCTTTAAAGTTAGTCTTCTACGTTTCTGTGTGTCTCCGATGAGGAAGGCAAGCTCTTATTCAAAAATTCCGTGTCTACTGCAGCGTTCATACTGTTCTCCAGAAACCTTCGGTAGAGTCGACTTTAGACTAATATCGTTAACAATGTTCAGCCCTATCAATTATGATAGCAAATACAGATCGTTTTCGAGAGTTTTCGTATGCAAAGTGCGCATGTCCTAGTGTTAACGTCTATCGCTCGTTCGTCCACATCTTTTGTAGAAGCTGAAGTTTGAGAATGTATAAAAATTTCTGGAAGGAGCATAGAGCAAGTACTGCTGAAAACTATCCGGTTTGCTTGTTTCCAGTTTGAAACCTATCGTGCTTTTCTGTACGCCCTCATGTACCATACACGGTTTTCGTCGCTTAAACATTGGTAGAACCTCACAAACACACTTTTACGTCTCATGTATGATAACAATGACGAGCAACAAGCTCAGACATCGGGTCCTGCCTCGTCAAGTCATCTTCAACGCGATTTAGAGTTTATCACCAGCCTTCAGACCCACTCGGATACGTTCTACTTACTGGGTATGTGCGAAGGAAGCAGGGTAGCCCAGGCCATGAAGGCGAAGTCCCGTGAAGACAACTGGCGAACCGTCGGCGTTGGAAGACCGGCCAAAAGACTGACAGATACTAAAAGGGTTGTCAGCGTTCCTCTACCTAGACAGCCGTTAACGAGATATAGGGTTTCCGATGTGCTGACCATGGACGACTGGACTCCAGCGCTTGACTTTGGAATGTTGTTTCAACATGAGCATAATACACAAGCTGATCGCGATAATCGGTAAGGTATAGCGTGCGTTTTTCCGTTACCGTGCCACTAAATTTGTAAACTGTGATTTCCCTCATAATGTAGCCTTATGGTTGTCATATGGCCTTTAATCTGACGGACTGCGCATTTTTAGGCTGTTCAGTAAATTTAAACAATATACAAGTCATAGAAAAGTGAGACGTTGTTCTACTTTCACCGGAATGGGCTTTTCGATAGATGACTGTACTCGATCAGAAAATCACGCACGTCGCGTTTTATGTAAAGTTTCGAATATAGGGGTGGTCGACGGTTGTGTTCTCAGAATTTCCGACTATTAGAGATATTTATGAAGGTGAAAAAATAGTATTGTTTATTCCTTGGTAGTGGCAATTGTCCTGAAATAGTCAAACCAACAAAGAGTTCTGAAGATAACACAGTAACATCAGAGTCGAGCCATTTCTAGACAGCTAAAAAGGGTTATTGTTGCAGATATCCATGACGTACGATTGAACGACAACTGGGATATTAGCGCTATCCACTGTAAAAGCTTCTTTTAGGTTCCAGAATTCTCTCTGCTTTGCCAAGATATAAGCATGCGGAAGGATCGACTGCATATACGCATCTAGCTCCTGACCGCTGTATCGTGTGAGTTGCCAATCTTCTCAAATGTTTGTCTTTGTACCACTATAGAGAACTAATCGACTATTGTTATGTAATTTGCAATAAATGTATCGAGTATAGAAACAATATCCAAAGCTGTGTCTGGAAGATTGAGAATAAACACGGATATTTAATCGTGTGATCAAAGAATAAATGTGTTCAAAAATGCTAGCATGCGATATTAATCTAGCTCACTGTTCTGACTTCGTCTAAAGCTCAACGTCCCTGAAATCACCTAAATAATATAGCTGCTGATGTCGACTATGGGGCCGTTTTTGTGGATACTCGTCCGCTGTGTTAAGCTCTTCGAGTGACATTTTGTGCTTCTACATTTTTTTCATGGTTTCTCTGAAATTGAGGCATGTGATTATGAGGTTCAATTGGTGTGAGCGGCGCGATACGTAATAACTAGTGTAGATGCGTAGCGCTTATGCGTTGCTGCGTCGTGGCATTACGTTGAAGCGCACAATAACAAACAAAAGCGTCGTTCGATATTTACATCATACACGGGCTGCGACAGATTAGCCGAAATTTTTCGACTGAATTTCTAAATTGTGCTAATTACTTATCAATCAGCGTAGAATCCAACGCAAATGCCAGTCTATAACGTAAACATAGTAACCGGGTCAGTCGATGCTCCCATTATGGTGCAGTGCAGAATGTTGAATAGGGGCTAATAGGGATAAATCCGGATATACGTCGGGGGATTCGATTCGATTTTGATTGAGAGGTATAGAAACCAATAGAACATCGAGTTACGCTCATTGTTTCGACGGATAGTTCAGAAGCGATGTTTTCAATTCGACTATATATAGGCCGTATAGTTGTGACCCGCTGTTTCGCCTGGCAGAACCTTTTGGTTCAGGTGAGAATTGTTAGTATCTCCAGACATCTTATCTCCATTTCAACTATTTGAAAAGGTAACATAAATAGGCTATAACTTACAGGACAGACTCTTGCCTTTCGTCGATTCAAATGACTATACCGGACTGCCTTAATAAAGCACAACCGAAGTGATCGTCAGTGTGAATAAGCATATCGCAGACGACTTTCCGCGGACACACCAATTGTGATCATCCGATACTGGTGCTACTTAAATAAACGTGTCATTTAAGTACTATTAGAGTAAAACGTTTTTTTTTTTTTGTCATTCTCGCCCCCTGCTCACCAATGCCGAAAGCAATGATTGAATATGTCTACTTACTAACACGACCTTTACGTTGCTCACACAGACAACAAAGTCATGTGTATTAGATAGATCGAAAACTCAATGTGATCTAGCAAGAAAGAACTTCGTTTTGTTTACGATTTAACCGTATTACGTTAGACGTTATTTACAGGAACGATACGGTGTTCGCTAGTAGGGCCGATTTCTGCTTAACAGGGCGGAGCTGGAATCGTAGTAATTGAAGATAAACTAATCATTATCACTGCTAGCGCGTAAGTATTGCTTCTTATCTTCGATGTTCACTTGTTACAGCCGACTGATAATAATTGGAACGGATTGATGTCGCTATGAACATCTGGTGACTGTACCTTGTCCTTATATTGCAGTAGGGCACCTAGGTGACTACGGGGATTACTTGATATCAATCTTGTACAGATAGAAGCACCTGTTTTGCCGGCGAGGCACCAAGAATCAGGAAAGCAAAGCTTCTGACTTGACATAGATAAACTTCAATATCTTTAACATAAAGGAAAAATCACCGGCACGAGCCTTACAAAGGAGGAAATAACATGCTCCATTATCTAAACGATTGAACTGTCAAAATTAGTGGTCATACGTTGGAACAACAACTTCGATTCGCAGTCGTTAATAACAAATCATCGTTAGTAAATAGATAAATTCGGTATAAAACGTAAATGTCTATGGTATCTGGAAACCGTCCAGTGACAGCTCTGTTGAGCTGGGGTGCTCATTTTCCATTACTTAATCGTATTTTTTTTCAGTGCTCCGCTGCTGTTCATACTCGACTTGATCGAGTCGGGCTGACATAAGATTTTAGATAAACGCATATATATATACATCGCTTTCGACTCGGTGTTGCCCTCAGCTGTGAACCTCGATGGCCTTCAATCTGTGCTTGACCAAAAACTGTTCGAGCAAATGCATTGCACAGAAAGTTACCACTTAGGAAGGCTTCTCGCGCCGAAATTACCAACATTTTTTTTTTAAGAATGGAGATTTTTGCGTGTCACAGAATCAAATTAAGTACGAATAGTGTAGCTGACTAATATACATCCCGAATGGACGTTGAAGACATACTCAATTAAGCTCTATAATAATAAGTGTACTGTTTTGCTCCATTTTACTAACCATTAATAAACCAGCTTTTGATTTTTCGATGGGTGCAAACGGTAACTTGCGTCTTATGCTGGAATTTTTTTAGTTTGCTAAACGTGGTTTTAGATAGATTTAGACAGGTTTTAAATCACTAGATGTCTATTTGTAAATAGAAAATCGTATCGTCTATATTTATTTCATAGGTGTTTAGAGCTAAAGCTAAGGTCCGATACTAGAACAAGAGTTATTAACTAGGCGTTTGCTTATGCGAGCCGTTGAAAATTCAGGCCAGAGACCTAAGCCTTTCAATGTACGTGCCTGTATACGGGTATATTAACGTGCTTCATTAGCAATGAGTTTGTGGACGCCATTTTAGCGGCAAGAAATTTGCAATAGCAAATTCAGGCACTGAGGAGCGCATCAGTTGTTAGCCCATGGATATAAATACATGTTACATGAAACCGTCAAGAGTCTGCCAGATGAGGCTACGACACTAACATTATTTTTCTATTTTTTTAGACAACTTTCCGAAACACCGGACACCGAATCTGGATTTTGTATTAATAATGAGTTTCTATAATGGGAATAATATTATACGTAATTATATTTTTTGCTCATAGCCGTTCTTCAAAAATGACTGTTGTTACTCTCGTTTTCGATTATGCACAGGCCGACATTGACCGAGGCTTACCATGGAGAACAATGGATGCATCCGCAAGAGGAAAGTTATTTATGTGATCTACTCGATACTCTTGGTGTAAATAGCGTTCTTTATTATAATTTTACTATCCACCGCTTAGATAGCGTCTAGGCAGGACTAGGATGTCTTAGGACAATTTGCGTTTTGCCTTGTGCTACATGCAAGGCAAACTTGTTACAAGACACAAACAATTGTCGCTTTTTGACTCAAAAAGTGAATACCGTAATAGTTATACGTTTAGATAGTAACAAACATATATTTAATGCTTACGCTGCTGTATAAATTATCGTAATCTTGTTACTACGGTACACGATAGATAAGCGATAATTTAAATTTTTCATTATAACGGCAGTTTCCTCATCTAAGTCTGATAAACGACGCTTTTCATAAATGGTTTTTCCCTATAACAATTGCTATTATCGATGCCATCTTGAAACGTATGTTTAACCCGAATAATCAACCTATGGCGCATTTATCATCCCTCTGCTGCAGATACGTATTCTGAGACAGTTGCAACAATTTTAGAGGGCGTCTCTTAAGTTGAATACGATCCTGTGGTCGAAAATTTAGCGCATCCAAAGTCATTATAGATCCTTGAACCCTTGGACAATTACGCGACAGCCAAGTTAGTACTGACCCATGCAGTGAGCGTGTTCCGCTACTTCGCCGACTGGGCAGGAAAGACCCACGGCGTTATTATACCCATAGGTAAGGACCGGAAATATGAGTTCTTCTAGCTTCCCATAGATAACGGCGGCAAGATTTAACTAGTAAATTAATTAATTACTAATCATAGATACGAACAAAATGAATACTCAGTCAATTTTCTTAAGGTATCACACTCGATTTGTTGCTACAGTGTAGAAAGGGATAATTTTTACCTTTTTATTTCATCACATTTAATTAATACCTGCGCATTAGTTACGTACTTTTTTTCTGGTTATATTATATACACTTTAATTACATGAGCATGAATACTACTGGGTGGTCGAACAATACAAATGATAGCACTTGTTAATCTCGTTCCTTAAAGAGAAATCTCTTAGCAAAAATTCAAAATGGCATCGGGAACAGGTACCTATTGTACTTGTACCTAAAATCGTTTACCAACGAATTACGTAATCACACACCGAACTAATTTGTGCGCTGATAGAAGACAACCGCTAGAAGTCTAACGCTGGTCTTTTTTTGAACGGCACGGGGTGTTGCTGATTATGTTCAATGGGTGTAGTTTTTTCGCCTCATCCATATCAAGCCACGCAGACAGCAGTAGATTTGATGCCTTTTAGCTATGAACCTTTCACGTAGATGGATCTTTATTTAGCTACACTCGAAAAAAACCTATCGACGTCGGGCAAATCATTCCACTTCCGCTTTTTTCGCTAGAATTAATTCGTGTAGTTGGTGTTTAAGCGTTAGCTTTGGTGTTCGATTTGCCCCACAACTGTCCAGGGATTTGTAAAATCTTTATTTAGATTAAGAATCGATAATTGATGTATGTCATTGTCTATAGCAGTTGCAGAACCTTTAATGGACTGCAGGAGTAACATCCCTTCGGGTTTTTCTAAATGGCTGCATAGTAGTGGAGACCTGCGAATGCGCCCACCCATTTCGCAGGCGCCATGTTCCAGACCCAGATGCGTAGCCGTACTCGTCGTTGATTTCATTTACAACTTCTATCATTAGCATCAATGTCTCACATATGGCCCCACGCTGAACTAATATAATGCAGTCGTTAATTGACCACTTTGCCATAGCTCATTACAATGCCCGGCAGAGCTGGGTGACTATTAAATTGAACGGTCGACTTGTACAAAAAAATTACTGTTTACTATGATTTCCTCTCACATCTCGTACCCAACAGACGGACCAATGAAAATATGCTAACTAATTTTGCCCTTCGGCCATATAGTGGAACGTTCCACTGATGGTGTTTTAATCATCTAACGCTCATCCTGGAGGCTGGTCTTTGTTGTATCGTTAAGCTAGCTATGACAACTCGGAAACTGGATTTCGTCCCGGAGTCTTGAATGTTGTTCCGGCGTTTAGAAAAATAGCAGGCGATGCGATCAGATACCCTCCGCGAATCGACAATGTCTCACTCGATGGTTCTATTGGAGTCTGTTCACAAAAATGTACCAAGAGTAGCCAAAAGTAGACTTACAGACTAGTTAACTATAAGTACATTCGCTAGGAAAAATAGGCGTCTCCTCAGAAAGGAGTAACTTCCGCATGAAGCTTGACAGTAAGGTCGTGTTTGCGCTTTGTACGACAGTTGCTGGAAACCTTAGGACAATACCCGCACATTTCGATACTACACACTGTGCTTGAGTTTTCAGCAGTCAATGTTCCTCTGCCAAAAACCATGAAAAGGATCTGTCTATAATGGTAAAAAAACAGTAAGAGTGGGCACCATCGACTTTTGGTCCTGTAATAGAATAGAATGAAACCGATCAATAGATGTCCCGATCGCTTTACCATATATCTTACCATATATAGATCGTCTTACCATAATATGCCTGTTCTTCATCTCATTGCTGATTTATAGGTCGCCCAGCTGATTATGACAGCTTGTGCGGAGTTACTCTCGAACTTGGCGGAAAGAACCCCCTTATTATCTTTGACAAGCGTGGTCGTATGTTTAGAGCCCACTGACGAATAAGTGATTTTTAATTCACACTCGAGAAAGATGAAAATATTAAACATTTGTACAGTGTACAGAACATTGTACAGACTACACCTCGTAGAATATGAAGCAGATTTGTACACATCTTAGCAGAATTCGATTTTTTTTCTCCAATATATACATATTTTATTTGTAATTTTACAGTTGACATGACGTCAGGTCTAACGTACGAAGGCACCACCCCGAATCTGGGTGAAATTTATGGATCTTCTTCAAGGATCTATATACACGAAAAAATTATTCCCATTCCCAGTAGCGGATTTAGTGCTTGTCGTAAGCCACACTCTCAGACATACTGGCCTCGTGTTAGCCAGCAGAACGTGTGAAGTTTTCGAATTTATTCAGCTTTATTTAGTAGCTTTATTCATAATTACATCACCATCTCAGTTTTTTGACGATTCAGAAGCAGAAGTTCAAAGTTACCTATTAGGATAGAATACGTTCTAATCCTTGCGCCTGCTTTCATTGTCGTTCAGATCTATGACGAAGCAGCGTCTTTTAGTCGCGGGTTGTAGTTCACATGAACCTAGTACTCCGCAATGACCTTTTTCAAACTTCTATGGTAATTTATGCATGCTGATAAATAAAAGAAACCTATCGTTGATGACCCCTTCGATTCGAACACGCAATAGGGTGGACTAAAGTACTTTAATTAAACGAAACTGTATGTAAAAGGCGCGACACAGCGGATACTTCGTATAGCTTATAAATTTTACTGAGGTCTGGTCTGTTCTATTCAAGATCATTTTGGTGAAGTATGTTAACAAAACAAGTTCAAGAAAGTTAGTTGAATATTGATGTAGGTTTCTTTTTCTTCTCATCCTTAGAATTAGTAGCTATATCGCTTATTAATATAATTAACTCTATTATTATTATGTTTAACTAGAATTTATAGGACCATATGCGGATCGTTTGTGAAGAAATCTTCGGTCCCGTAGTGCAGATTCTCTTCGGATGAAGAAGTCATTCGGCGAACTATCAATAGTGATTGTGGCTGGAATAGTATAGAAGATGATTCATGAAGCTGGACACTGTGTGGTAATGTCGCATCTGCGTTTCGTAACAGAGATGAACCCCAGTGTATTTTAATCACGGTTATTCTATAGTATTTCTATATATGTTTCATTAAGTTTTGACAAGTATCTATTCATATTCGGAGCTTACAAAATGTCCCGAATTCGAAACTATGCAGAAACTATATAAACTTGGCAAAACACCGTTAGGATTCTCAAAGTTCGAAGCTTGATTCCCCTCTAAACATTGTTTTTCCTATAGTAACTTCAGTTTTGTTGTGAAGGTCTAGGAGAGTTTAAGTTCATCTTATTTGATTTTATGAAACATCCGATATACATATATGAATGAACCGATAATCTCAAAAATCACAGCGAGTCATTTAACCTGTAAATAAGTGTCTCGGTACATTCGGGTTCACGTCCGAAACGCATGTTTGCAATTTAGGTTGACTAAATCTGTATATCTTATGTTCGATACCTCAAAATTAGGTGTCAACAGTGGGCCAAGCATATGAAATGTTTCCATAACTATATATATATATATATATGGTTGGTAAACGAATCTGTCACTGAAGGTCTGATCGAGTCTTTTTCCTTACTTCAGTGGCAAACACGGGCCTAATTCGTATATTCATACTGAAGTGGTAAACTCAATTCTAACGCTTTTATTAGCGCAATAATGTTCTATTCTAATGTATTGTACTGTTTTATCTTTTTATCAATAATTTCATCTGTAAACCACTAAAATGACGATGACGAACAGACTTTAGCACAACCGTTCTCACGCAACTTTTCCATATTAGTGTAAAAATAATGGTATTTTCGTCCTTATTCCCTCTGAATCCTCAAGGCCTTACAAGTGGTTCTTGAAAAGAAGGAAGCTACAACTGCTGCTGTTGCTGCTGCTGCAGAGAAAATTGTATATTATAAATTATATATATTTTAAAGCGAAGACTTAATGGCTGAGCTGGAGAGAAGACTGTGTTGAATAGCGTTCGGCGTGTCGCATTTCCCCTGCAATAGTCAGTGTTTATCCGTATCGGCTTACTATCTACGAATAGAATTTTACACAGAGCTTTTTAAATTTAAGGTTTAATATTACATTTTATCTATTTAGTTTATGAAGATTAAATATCATTTTCAAAAAAAAAAAACAGCACGAACTGAGGCATAGAATAAACCTATTCTATCTTTCCAGTATTTAGCGACTGACATATTTTCGAAATGTAGAAACTGAATAACTCGATTAACTTATGCGCTTTTTATAACGTACTGCGTTTATTTTTCCCGTTTTTTATAAATCAATTTGTTCAAACTAAACATGTATGTGTGTCAGGTTAAAGTTGCTGCCCGCGTTGGTGGCTATATATTCTCAGACGGTGCTCAGTGCAAGACAAGTATGAATATTTGTAGTTGGATAGCACTTTAGTTACAATTAAACGGGCATGTGGTACCGCTTACCCAAAAGAGACACTAATTTCAATGTATAGAGGAAAAATTATTTTGTGCCTATTCATTCTGGTCTCAGATTCTGGTAGTCAGTGTAAGAAGAACGTTATCTACGGCAGCATGGGAACCCTCTTCTGCAAATCCTGGCATATTATGTGGTGTTGAGGTTAAGCAATCTTTCTTTAGAGGTGGATTTTGTTGCCTATGAAAATGGTTTCGCTGTTACAGTTCAAGCTGGGACGATAGAGAAACTTCGAAGGAGAACAAACCGGACTTTGATCCTTCTCTAGAAAAATAGATCTTAATCTGCATGAAAAGATCTTCATGCAAATGAAAGAACATGGGAAATCTTTGGCCTCTACGAAGTTCCGGTCCTTCGCGCTCGGGATGGGAAAGGAGTACAGTTAGCGGTAAAACGGTGAACAACCTGGGAACCGAACCCATTCACACAATGAGAAGAACACACCCTAGCAAGCGAACCGTCGACGGCGACTACAGCAACCACGGAAATTTCCAAAATGTCGGCAAACATCCATAGCCCGAAAAAAATTGCTTTTCACAGCGATACTAGAGCCATTTGAGTTGTTGGGGGTACCTGTGTTTACATAATCTGAAACTATAGGGGTCATGAAGATTACTGGACCTAACAGGATCCGACAGATAAGGCAGATGGAAAAGCCCTGCGAATATGGTAAGAAGAGTCGAAGGCAGTACCTCTTTTTCTTCGAGAGTGGCAATAAAGTATATCATTTCTAATATGCAGCGCTGAATTGCACTGCATACTGAAATACTGTCAAAGCAGATTTAAAAGAAATGAGAACGGCTCGTAAAGTTACGAGCAACATGGTAGACGACGTTAGATTCGCTTTAGCACGGCGTCGCACGGGGGTCGCACTTTTGTGCAAGGAACTAGGGAGGTGCAGAACTTGACCAAAAAAAAGAATTGACTCCGGCCTGATGATCCGAGCACTAGGTGCTCTGTCCTATCAGCCTGTAGCGTTATGTTAACTTAAGATCGGGGCTGATTCGGAGTGAACCTTGACAGAAGAATTGAGAACTAGTGAGCAGTGCTTTCGACAGGAATAGGTCCAACCAAGGACGCTGGGCCTCACACTCGGCCCACTTAAGATTGATCTTATATTTTGGTGGACCTGATTGTACGTAAATTGCATTAGTCAAACTCTCTACTAACAAAAACATTAATAAACGTGTTTTTCCACGAAGCAACATTGGCTACGATGGCATAATATTGCCTATCACTGTACAACCTCAAACAGCTGTCGATAGTTACATATTGAGTAAGCCTGCCCGAAGTGGTTAATTTATTGACCCCTACACAGTTCAACAAAATACTCTCTCTCTCTCTCTCTCTCTCTAACTCTAACTAAACTAAGTCTCTAACTCAGACGTCTAAAGGCAATTCAAGTAGCGACTAGTGGCATTACTTTTTTGTCTAGCAAGAAGGCCGCTGTATATAAAAACGAAGTTACTTCAATAGATTAACGTTAGTTTTTATTTATTGTAAGTGCATTTCAAGAATCATGGCATCGCATTGTCTCCCCCGTATTGCGGCGGGCGTCAAACCACTTTATCAGTAGGTAATCTCACATAATAATCAATACCAAGAATTAGAGCGAGCACAAAATCCTGGCAAATTCTTAAGTATTAGGGTACAAACTTATGACTTAGACAGCGTTGACGATGTGTTGGCAGTATGTCGCATGTAACTTTGCCACTGTGGAATAGAATACTGTTATAGAAGGAGTATTACCTATCTATAAACTTATGATGATAATAGTCTTCGGGTGACGTACGATATTTCTAAGCCGTCTAGACTTCTGTGAGGTGGCATGGCTTATATGTACATTCCTTGTACCGGACGTTTCAGCTGACTCGAATGAAAAGCGGCTGGTTACTATTAAGGAGGAAGTTTTTGTTAATTGTTTTTGTAAAGCTGTAAGGTATTTAGTTGTTTCTTTGATATTGCCCTAAGGCGCTTCTCAGAACAACAATGCTTTTTTAGAGGTGGCATTAATCAGGACAAGGAACGGAAGTTTGTTATCAACGGGAAGTAGTAGTTAGATTGATAGTTTCGTTGACGTCCGAGATGAGACACGATCTTGACACCGCCATGGAGCGGACGTAAATAAGCCCCATTAATTTATTCCGTCTGGCCGGATTGTTAACTTCTTTGTATTAGCATGACTAGATACCTTACCGGTATTTTGAGTATACAAAACGGACGAGATCCCGAGATAATTTAGGCCCAGCGGTGATGCATTGGTTCATAGTGTAGATTTACTTGCTCAGTAAAATGAGCTACTCGTTAGGACGGTAGATACATAGAGGTAATGGAACTGTTAGTTACGTAAGCGCTCATACCCAAAGTAGCGATTGCATAACAAATAAAGTGGCTATAAGTTACACTAACGGCAAATAAAACAGCGCTGTAGTAACTTGAAAAGTAGTTATGTGTCTCAATTCGCACACAAGTCAGGTCAAAATTAGGCATGCCTCCAATTAAGCCACCTCTCAAGTTAAACAGCTAAATTATTCTAGTAGAAACGATGTATTACTTACATACATTTGTTATTTGTACTAAATCTCAGTACTGACTACTTGAAATATTTCCATTTGTACGTCTTTCGTGACGGTGTAGTTAATGCGAAGTCAGACTATATTGACTTTCCCTTTCAGAACAAGACACATAGAGCTTTTATCAATCGTGCCACTACGACCAGCTAAGCATCTATTACAAGATATCTCCAAATAACCAAGGACATTGCCTTACGACATATCCTTACTCGTTTGTTTGCCCCTAGCGCGTAGAAAAGACACGAAAATTTAATATCTACATAAATGTTTCGAATTCTAAATGTGATACTGTTACTAAGCTTCGATTTTCAGATGACAGCTGGCCCCTTCTAGCACAAGACATGCACTCGACATCTTTAACAATTGCAGATCTTGGTCCGGTTTATTTTTAAGATCTTCAAAAGGTAGGGGTACATTAAATTCTTCCTTTTCTATCGAAAACTAATCGTACTTTTTGAATAATGACGTAATTTCTTAAATTTTTGTGGATGCTTCTGACGCGCAGATCCTATCAGCTATCACAAACTAGTGGCTGGAAAACAATCTTTGACGGTGTATCTCAGTGTCATATTCATAAACGATGGACTGGACTGTTCGCGCAAGAGAATAGTTTCTTGATTTTATTAGTTTTTAAGAACAAGCTTGTTTCCTGATTTGGCCTTGCTGGAGAAGAAGGCACATGTGTCCTTTCTCTCGTACAAAACGCAACCAACAAGTGAAAACCCCTTCAGTGAACTACGCTCGTCCAGTAGCCTTGCCATAGCGAAGTACTTATCAAACACAGAATACCTTTAATTCATTTTTTCTTTTATCATATAACACGTTATAGTTAATAACGAATTCATGATTTCGATGACTGATGGCGCTTATCGTTTCTATTATTTAATCCGCAGTTTTCCTCTGTTCTGGCTAGTGTTCCTGTCGTATTTATAATCCGTACACAATAGATAGATGATTTTTGATGAAACAAAGATTTCTCACGTACTCGTCATCGCCTACAGTCGTCCCTCCTTATTCATGTTTTCTCTACCCCGTCTCTTTCATACCCATTCATTCAAACGTATAATTTGTTTTTAACGTGTTTCATTTAGACGACGACTTTAGCTTGGCGAGCACTAATGTAGTGAGCCACAGCGGGGGCAGCGGCGTAGTGGGTGACAGCTGGGCCAGCGCTGTAATGGGCTACAGCAGGAGCAGCAACGTGGTGGTGGGCGTAGGCGGCAACAGCGGGAGCTACCGCGGCGACGGGGGCGGCATGGACAGTTCCATGGTTGACGGCCGTCGAGTATGAAGTTGCCTTGGCAGCGGCGACGGGGGCGGCAAGCGGGGCCATAACGGGGGCCGGGTGCGCATAGGCAGCCACAGTTGGAGCGGCGGCGGCAGCTACGGGAGTTGCATAGGTGGCTGCGGCAGCAACAACAGGGGCAACAGCAGCTTTAGCGACGACGGGAGCGGCGTTGTAGGCAGCGGCAGCAGAAAGGGAGGGCGCGGTTCCTGGTTCATTTGTGTTGATGGCAGCGCGGAATCCGGCTCCATCGGCCACATAGTTTACAACACGGACACGTCCATCAATGTCCCGGAGTCCGTAGGAACCGGCCTTGATTCCTGCAACACTGCCAGACTCACGACGGAACGAACCACCGGTGGGGTGCGCTTCATCATATCCGAAATTGTAGTTACCGAGTCCGTCCTCGGAGCGGAATTGGGACGATGAACCGACTGAGGCAACAAGACCGCCATGCACGCCAACGGCAGCCAAAGCGACGACGCACATAAAGGCCTATAGTTGAGTTACAGTCAGCATTCACGCAGTCGTTGTAGATAGTGCGCCGTTGTGAAGAAAGGTCACGCAAGTTGAGAAGGTAAAAATGAAAACACAGCTTCATATTGAATCCTTTTTCGTGTACCGAATATCTTAATAATTTAATACTAGAAGCCAAAAGCACTATCTAACAGTTCATAATTTGCTGAAGCAATCTATCCAACAGAGTATACACTAGACGCGCGGCGACATTGTGAACACAATTGTACAGGCACACCGGCTATTTTCAGCCAGTCGCTAACTCCAGTTGATAAAGCCTTTTTTTTTGCCGTAGATTTTAATCAGCCATTTGACCAGGTGTATACTCCGGTTGGCATAGTTAAGACCGTTAGGAGATAACAAAACACGTTTAGAAAAAAAAGAAACGATATGGAAGCTAGAGGCTATAGTATACTGCGGCTTAAATAGTCACTAGAACTTGCCTTCATATTTGCTGTGGTGTGTTGCAACCGGTGCTCTATTTTGGGACCTCCAAACGCATTTTATAGGGGCATATTACTCTTCAGGGGCATTCCGCTGGAGAGGAGTGAATGGAGAGTCGACTTCGTCCTTGGTGAGTTTTCTTCGCGCGCCCGCGAACTTGTTCCTTCGAAGACCGGTCGGACATTTCGATGGATCACCGAAAATAACCGACGTCACCGACGTCGCCTGTGGCGTGAGGGGGAAACAGTTTTTGATACACAGCCATAGCCACAGATAAATTTACACGAACGCAGACAGTAACAACGATGACACCAGCGACAGGAAAGATACAGAAATGTGACTTTTGCATGAAGCGAAGGGATAAGCGAACTTCTTCTTCTGACAAAGACTTCTGTTTGAGCCATATCCCCCCGTGCTCCAAATGGCCGCCGCTGCCGCTTGGCACCGGAAGCCGTCGATACTGCTGCTTTCGCCATTGACCGTTGGCTGTCCAGTTGATTGCCGCCGGATAATAACAGGGCTTCCCATTGGGGGTCCGCTATGGGGTCGTCGTTAAATCTGACCCAATGCGACACGATCCGCCCACTCATGTCTATCAATCGGCGTGGCTTGGGAGATAAGTGGCTGTACCGCATCATACTAGTGCACATTATAATAATGGTTTCTTCAAAGCCTATAGAATATTTTCCTCCTTTGACCATTCTATCTCTCTCGATGCCGAGACTATTGGATACTTCGTTTCCACTCCAATCTAAAACGAGCTGGCTAATCCTGCATACGCTTCCTGTTTCCATACTGTGCAATAGAAATTGAACGGGACAGTAAAATGCTAAAGTTTAACTTATGACTGGACCAAAAGTCACGATAAAGTCAAATTAAAACATCACAGATAAAGCTTTATTATATAGCTACTGTGACGATTACTATGATAGAATGTTAGTTAGAATTTGTCTCCTTATCCTGCATGCGTTCAACACGACAAGCTAGGAAACGAATATGTGTAAAATTGCTCCTACATAGGAAAGCGGCTATTCAATAACAAAGGTATCTGTGTGCGTATGTTTGTTATCGTAATTCCAGCTAAAATGGTTGGAACCTTCGATGAGTATCAGTTCCATTTAATCAACTATGGAAAAACCGTACACTTCTAAAATAATTAATTTCAATAATAACAATTTATAGTTGATGCTACATGCAGCGTACTGTGACCATCGCAGTAGTGCAATATCATATAAAAAAAAATAAGCATAACCGGACTAACGTGGTGTTAAATTCTAACAAACTGCTAATTGATAGTGTTTTTTTCTTGGTTTTTTCTTGTTAAATTGTGCATACAAGGTAAAAAACTGCTACAGACCTGTCTGTCCCACCCTTCACCAACATTCGTAGAATCAAATTGGTTTAGAAGAACTTAGAATTTCGATCTAGATGAGTAGACATATGGCACCTATCATTCTACAGAGATAATACTGATAATATTTGGGGTATTTTGAAATAGGGAAAACCACTAATACAATCTGGGATAGACAGTTGATTCGATATCTGACTTGGAATCAATATGAGTGTGGTACATTCTAAATTCTAAAAATATACGATACGGTTTACGTATTACATATTATGTACACGGATCAAATATACGACGAGCAGAGTCGCGTCTGACGTGTAATCTTGCCCAGATAATCGCAAAACCCTAAGCCTTCATATAAATAGTTCTTTGATGAGTTGATCTTCCTCAATTATAACTAGTCAGGTAACTTTTTAGATTTGCTTTCGTATAGGTTTCGTATGAACCTCCGACCATAGAGCGCGTCTCCCTCATTGACGAGCAATAGACAGAAGCCAAAACAAGATTCTCGCAGCCGACTATGGCCATACGATAACAAAAAAAAAAAAATAGGAAAATTCATCGTCAGAGCTATATTCAGTTTTTTAGGACAGTTGCGTTATTATTAGTTGAACAATGCGAATATTTGTGTATACCTATCAGTTAGCATATTTTTCCTAGACTTTAATATAATATATATTTAATATAGTTATTAATTAATTAGTTAGTATAGTTCTAGATTCTCTAGCATCAATCATTGAGTCCATTTGAAACGGGAGTACAGGCAATATCTACGTCGATGGTATGAGACTGTCGCCACTGGTGTAAAAACCCCCTTGTGGATTCGGAATCGACGACAGTTGACGTCAACGTACTTCATCGGCAGCAAAGTTATTGCTATCCCGCTTGTGGTTGCGTTCTTCGTTCACGAAATCCAACTGAATCCTTTTCGTTACGAGGAACTGCAGAAAGCCCCGCATCCAAATTCCGGCCCCTCCTTATGAACTACTTCGAAAACTCGATCTAAACAGCAACAAAAGTGTTGAGGAAATGTTCTTTATGCGTTCTTGTGCTACATATTTATTTCATATAACTATTATTTATCGTGATTATGTCTTCAATTCAGGACCTAAACCACGTACTAGTCACGTCCACAGATAACTTTTAGCCTAGTGGTAACCAAGCGTTCATTAATCTCGCAATTGCTAGATACAGACTCGGTAACGTAGGAGATCCGGTGAACTTAATTTTGGACTGCTAGCAAGCCAAATCTTAAAAACGCAAGGACTCAAAATGTAGGACAAGTACAAAAAAAATCTAAAAATGCGCCGAAACTTTTCAAAGGACTAACTCTTAGATCCTGCCTAGGCAACCCAAACGCCAATTGATATACCGCCAAATGATAATTAGTTTCTACGTACAAATTTAAAATGTACCAAATGGCTTTTTAAGTAATTTTGAGCTGCTTAGAGGAACTAGCTTTCGTCTGCTATCAGGCACAGCAAACGAACGTAGACCCGTTACGATAAACAGACCCACTAGGGTGTTTCCTAATTTGAACGCACCACTTTGAATGTGCTTAATTATTTTTTGTCCTCAAATCGCGTCAGATATATCGCCGTAACTTCCAACCCGAATATCTCTTCTGTATTCTCATGAATGGTATCTGTTCCATCTGCATGAAGTTGTTCCAGACCAAGCCAGTCTGATACAATCAGAAAGGTGCTTAGAGCGATTGGCCAATCCAAGAAACTATTCACTCTTCATTTTGCTCGCTAAATGTATTTACCCAAACGCATCCCGGCAATCCAGAAGCAAACGAAGGTGTCCGCTGCTTTTATAAACTGCTATCAGTGCATAGATCCAAGCTTTTCTTTTTGTTTATCGACAAAAATGCACCGCGAACTTTCGGTCGCAACCCGTTCGAGGTCGGATTTGCATAGATAAAGTGCACCGGGTTTTTGGGCTAAACAAAACGGCATAACGGCAAGATATGTCAAGGCAGGATAATCATGAGCAAGTGAGACAAGGTTCATTTCAGCATCCTTCGCCCACATGAGCATCTATATGTGCGTTATATGAGTTTGTATCAGATAAATTGTCCTGGACAGTTAGACTGCTTTGCCTATCATTTCCCGAGTATATGCTTACTCTCAACGTGTTTATGCTAGCAGAGTCAGTACTGTAATTTCATCGTATAGCCCTCTACCGAGCGATCGTAGCTTATCAGTAGACCTTGTGGGTGCACCTATAATGTTTGATAAAGTCAATCAGACCTTTACGGTCTTTGTTTGGTATAGATAACTTGCTTCAATCTAATTTAAAGGTTAAGCTTTTTTTGCAAGTGAGACATTGCGTGTTCGAGCTCCGCTACGCTCACTCGGGGAGCATGTAACCCTCACGACGATCAATGAGTTGCAGCAAAGTACTTCATACCGGCTGTTGTGATACTGCAATGGTAACTCGTTTGCATACAAAAATTAGGAATGTACGTAGGGTGATCCAGGTTGGAAATCTAGCATAGACGTAGGCTGATTCGTACTAGGGGCGAGTTGACAGCGTGTATAAGAAAATTAACGGTTGATTGAACATTTCGATGACATTTTAACGCAGGTCAAGACGAGTTTACAAAAGGAACAGCAACAGGGCTTACTACCCTGGCCTTATACTGAGCATTGGTTCAAAAGCACCACAAGAAAAATTTACCTGTTTCAATATTTACACGGTGTTTGACCACGTTTCACTATGAATCCCAACCTAGAAAGCTTATTAGAAAGCTTATTAAACTGACGATTAATCAGAGCTCCCTAAACTCGATTTGAAACTATCAGGCAAATTGCCGCTGTTACACAACGATCAACATTATTCTCTTAACGTCCTGTAGGAGTGTATTTCCTGTGTCCATTTCAAAAACTTTAACTGGGCCTTTAAGGTTCAGCATAAAATCGCCTATACGCAAAAGTATGTGACTCGATCCTATCATAAATATTCCATTGGAATATTAGGCAAACATTATTATGCGATTATGTTCTACTTAAGACATCTAAGCGGTGCAGTTATGGACAAGTTTAACTTTAGTCTGCATATAAGCTGCATAATTGGATCGGAATTGTTCAGCTTTAGGACTATCTTTGAATTCTTTGTAAATAAAAATCTTCAATCTGTATTACCCTCCAAAGGAGTCTGGTCTTTATACGTTTCTGCGATTTAGCGGTCTTGTGTATTAGAAAGCCCCTCGATAACTCCGTTCATATTCGGAACGATGCACTCCGTGGAAGAGCAGCGATGACGATGTTATAGGCGTGTTCAACAAAGACTCCGAATAACATCTTCCCGTGGGAAATTATCGGCAAACTTTGCAGTGCGCCAAATAATCTGATCTGTTACAAAATTACGTTTAAGTTGGCAGTCACGTAAATTGTTAAAACCATGTAAACCCATAGATAATTTCATTCTGCTAGTGTGGTAAAACCGCAGTCAAATAAGTTCCTGTATACCATTTTCCTTATTGAGCCTAGAGTCAGAGGATTTGGACTCAAATACCTAAATCTAAATTAATCTATGGGAAATGTTGTTTTCTAGCAGCTACTTTCTTGCAGCCAAGGCTCGTTAATGGTTCTAGGGGATCGATGGTTCTAGCCGGAAAAGACAGCGATGTTCCCAATGGTACCGTGGCGATTTGTTAAATGCGCAGAC